TATAAATAAAAAGTAGAATAATATTTTATGGTACATTATCATATTTTAAAAATTCTTTACGACATAGTCCATCTTTTATGTTGGAATGGACATTATTTTTCAAAGAATTGTTATAGGAGGCAATATTTGCATAATATTCGGGGAAATCAAGTCATAAAAAGAAAATCCTGGAAAGGAGAAAATTAAAGTATGTTACATTTTTTATCTTGCTTTAACAAATAGCACGAAATAAATGATAAAAAATTATTAATAATTTATTTGGGACAGCATTATAACAATAATTAGTTCCCTATAATTTTATAAATTTTTTTTTTTTTTTTTTTTTTTTACATTTTTACTTAACACGGCAAGGTCATATTCTACATTTCATATGATTTTAGTTTTCGTTAATATACAACGACCTCTTTAGAGAAATGATTAAAGATATAAACTTTTCTAGAGAGTGATCAAAGTAACAAGCCTATTCAAAGGGAAGAGCTGGGTAAATTTCCGTAGGTTTATGAGGAAATTATTTTTAAAATCTTTTCATTATCCCCGGCCTCGTAACAGAGTTGGAGGGAATATAGTAACGCAATCTGTTTGTTGGTGAGTGAGTGCGGGAATGACGTAATTTGTATTGGAATTGAAGTCTAATGCTGCCTTGATTTATAGATCCCTGCTCTTTGCGAGGGGATGCTTTGCTTTGCAATGATCTTGTAATATGATAATATTATACATTATCCACACTATCAATGTGTACCAAGTTAAATCAAGGATACTTCATTAAAATGAATGAATAGAATAAATTTAACAAAGACTTACAATGATTTCCCATGTATCGCTTGACTTAATTAATGAGGCAGTCATGTTATTTTTAAGCGGTTAGCTTCGCTAGCCGCTATATGGCATGTGTCGGCAACCGGAAACCTCCATAAGGCGCTACCTATCGACAACAGAAACTTCAACAAAGCCTCTACCAATGATTTGTTTCTAACACATATAACATGTTAACATGTTAAATAAAATCAAGACTATCAAAACAACATAATCATTCGGTTTTTAATTTTTATCTGATTTTGTTTGTCAATGAAATAAATTTATTGTTGTATTTTAAAATTTTATGTATAGGAGCATTTGGTGTCGAGATTAAATTTCCGTGACATCAGCTGATGGCGATCGGGCCCTGTGACGAAATTTGAAGTCAGCATGAAGTTTAGCTGATAACATTATCAACGCGTTGGATTTAAACTTAAGGAAGAAATATATAGCGAGAAATATCATACTTGAACCCAATGCTACACGAAAACCAGTAGGCATATCCGGTTTATGTGTTAAATTGAAGCCTGAATTGAACAGGGGGTCAAAATGGCGTTGCACACCTTGTGTATCTAAACTGTACATAGAGGGGTAGAATGTTTCGATATTTGGCTAATTTAGAGACTTACTGATAAAAATTCAGGTGCCTGTGATTAATTATAAGGCACCCCTCATGAACAATATATATTTGATCGAATTATGCTACTGGCACAGAAAGGACGGGTTAATTACTGGCTTAAGGGGTTGAAGGTTATTACACACTGCAAAACATCGGAGAATCTCTCGATCGAGTTTCATTTTCCTTGCTAAAATATTTAGCCATCCCTTTAATTAACTTAAGTAATACTAGTACATGAAGAAAGCTTTATATATATATATAAAAAACTGAATACATCTTCAGGGTTCTCCATCATTTGAAATTTTACTGTGTGGCATAGTTTACGTGAAGCACTAAAATCTCGCGCTATTTTCGAGATCAAATTCGCAACTGAATTACTTTTCATTAAACTTATATAGGAACATATGAGCACACTTTTTACAATAAATCACTATTTCGATATACAAATATTTTCGTCATACATATTGATAAAAGTAAAAACACGTGCTATGAAAAGCAGGGGAAATTCTGATCGATACAATCAAACTAATTACCACTTTTGAAAGTAAATTTGTTGTACTTTTTTGTCAGTTTTTTTTTTTTCAAATTACCGAATTGCAAAGGAAAAAATAGGGAAACTTCAGGACAGGATGATATTCTTACGAGTTCCTTAAAAATGTGTCGCATGCATAAAATTTTAATCGTTACTGTGTCGTAGAAAATTTTGCTGTGTCGGGAGCAACACAGTAAAACAGCTCATGGAGAACCCTGCATCTGTAAGCTGTACAGTTATAGATTACTTCCATAATGAAACGTTTGTTTTCTTCTCCTTTTTTTCTCAATTGAAATTATTTAAAAGATGATGAAAGCTTTGTTTCCAGGGATAAATTCTGTACTCAGTCTAATCATTACAAACAATTATAAACGTCACATTATTTAAATATTTGCCAGATACTCAGTATATTATGTTCGTTTATATATATCGTGCTTACAAGACTCTTTTTTGAATTATTGTCATGTACCATTTACTAATTCGAACATTTATTGTATTTAAATTCAATAGTGTACATTTCTTAAAACTTTATTATCTTGTTTACTTGTCTTTCTTCCTGTGAGAGAAATAGTTCATAATATTAATAAACAGATGTACTCAGTATCTGTATCAAAATACATAATGAATAGTGATCGGTCTCAAATGAAAAACGGATCCTTGAAAGTTCCGGTGCCTAGGAGAAGTAAGCATCCCCAATAACAGGTCACACCTGCTGACCCGCAGTGAGCATACGAAACTGAAGTCCTCTGAAATTAAATCAATTTACAAATTCTCTGCTCGTCCATCCGTTTTTCTCAGACTAGCCAGCTAAAGATCTATGTACAGAACTCCAAATAAATTAATCTAAATTGAATTATCATTACCGTCTTCCTTGGAAGACGGTATTGTATAGTTGAATTTTTTTTACAGTCGTCGGACTATGCACTTCCTCTCTTTTATGATTGGTACAAATTGCATAATGAGAGAATTTCAATTATTTTATTGGTTGAAACGTTGTTCAAGGCAAGGAAGATAACTTTCTGATGATATATTTTTCGTACAATTCCAATCTTAAAAAAATGACAAAACGAACAACACAAGCAAATTCAAAGAATTATGGTCCCCCGCTTTCGGTATCTTTGTGGGCAAGATATAATTTTTAGGGTCAAGGTCAATAGGTCAAAGTTATTGGTATCCCATGAAAGGTCTTGCCATAAAGAATACATATATTTAAAATATGAAAGTGCTAGTTTCTACCGTTCAAAAGTTGTGACCAAGGTTCACGTTTTTAAAAAGTAGTTAAAACTCCAAGGTCAAGGTCAAAGGGTCAAAGTTCTTGGCATGCAATGAAAGGTCTTCTCACAAGGATTACATACGTGAAGTATGAAAGCCCTAGCCCTTACCGTTTAAAAGTTATGGTCAAGGTTAAAGCTTTTTTAGAAGTACGTTAATCTCCAAGGTCAAGGTCCAAAGGTCAAAGTTGTTAGTATCCAATGAAAGGTATTGTTTCTAAGAATACATGTGTGAAATATAAAAGTCCTTGTATCTATCGTTCAAAAGTTGTGACCAAGGTTATAATTTTTAAAAAGTAGTTAAAACTCCATGATCAAGGTCAAAAGGTCAAAGTTCTTGGTATCCAATAAAAGGTCTTCTTACAACAATAACATATGTGAAGTAATAAAGTCGTAGCCCTTATCGTTCAAAAATTATGGTCAAAGGTATAGTTTTTTCATAAGTACGTAAATTTCCAAGGTCAAGGTCAAAAGGTCAAAGTTGTTGGTATTCATTGAAAGGTCTTGTCAAAAAGTATAAATATGTGAAATATGAAAGTCCTAGTACCTACCATTCAAACGTTATGGCCAAAGTAAAAGTTTGGAATTTTTTATTAAAAGTAGTTGAAACTCCAAGGTCAAGGTCAAAGGTCAAATTTGGTGGTACCCAAAGAAAGGTCTTATTACAAGGAATACACATATTAAATATGAAAATTATAGCTCCACTAAATCAAAAGTTATGGGCAAGGTTAAAGTTTTTGTGACGGACGGACAGACTGACGGACAGACCGACGGACAGACGAATGAGATTTAATGTCCCCTCGCTTTCGCGAAAGCGGGGGACAAAAATCAGCAGTAATTAATTCTTAATAACATAGCGTTTTTACTGTTTTATAGTGATAAAAGTGTTTTATAGCGATAAATAAAAAGGTCTCTTTAATTTCATTATAAATTAAATTTGATAGTTATTGCTTGCAGGCTTTACAATTTGTTATTATTCTTTTCCCCTTTCTTGTTTGAAGAGTGAATGGGAATCAGCCGAGGTTTGCCGAAAGCTCTCGGCCAGTCAACGTTTATGGAGATGACCGAGCGACAACCGTGGTAGGGCTAATGCCCGTAAAAAGCATATTTAGAAATACAAAATCAAGAAATTCAAAAGAAGTATAGATCTGTTTACTATTTAAAATTGTTGCTAAAGACAGTAAGCTTTTTTGAAAAGCTCTACTTGTTTTATTTTCTTTTTGAGTAGGCTTTACAGTTACCTAATTTCAGAGTCAATAGAGCATGAAAGACAATTAAATTTGCAACATCAACATATTTTTTTTCGTTCTGAGCACATTTGGACGCCACCAATGGAGACAATTAGGAAGAAATTATTGAAATTGAACTTCCTGTCTTTCAAACTGAAAATCTCAAGTTGATATTTTGAAACATACATTTGTGACATCAGTCTGGGATGTTATTGGTTTTTCCATTTACTTAAGTACTACAAAAGTCAGTGTGTCTGCTTCTTCGCTGATGACATCGGACAAAAATATGCATGCTTACTTTAATATCATCACTGAATGCATTTTTTGTTTGTCTACACTGTACAGTCAAATTCCATGAAAGCATGCTAACCGCTTTTCAGTACTTTCAGTACTTTGATTTTAATTGCTTATATCTTCTGTACTATATTTTTAGCCAGTTAAAAGATTAGCTAGTCTCTTATTGCTTAAAATTTATACATGTAGAGGAAAATGGCAGTTTCTGATTTTTTTTTTTAAAAATTGAACTCAGACAAGAGTAACCATAAAAATTTTTAATGACTTTTATTTAAAAAATTAAAATGAGTACACATAGCAACATACTGGAACTCAAGTCGCCTCTTCTGCAACCTAAGAGTACGTTGGAATCCTTTCTCAACCGTGTATCGACCGGCGGAAGTCTTTTGATACACAGTGTCATTCAGAAAACCAAACCCAATCTTGCTTGCATGCAGCGGAAAGTCCCAATTCCTTGTTTTGGCCATAATAACAAACTAGTTCTTTAAACTTGATGCTTAAGAAAACAATTTATGCATCTCTTTTTCACATGATTTCGCGTTTACTTTCTTTAAAGCTCTGTGACATCTCTACCGGCGGCAGCCATTGCTCTTCTTAACATTTTAGAATACCTATAAGACAAGATATCCTCGTACCTGTAAGAAATGAAATCAGAGATAAAATAGATCATGACTTCTGCCTCCAACAGACAGTGAGAGATTTGTATTTGTATTTACCTTATACATACTAATGTAATTTAAATAAATTAGTATACATGTATATGTAGACTTCTTTACTAATGATGACAAAATTTGGTTTTTACGAAAATCAATTTTTTATAAAGAAACTTTCAAAGAAAATTTATATCAATCTGACAAATGCTTAAAAAAAGAAATGTCCAAAAATAATTTTACTCATCAGACTCGAGTATTTCTGGTAGTTCTTCTTCAAGCAATTCGTTGAGATTTTCATAATGAACAATGTTCTGTCTCTGGTCATATATAATTATCTCCACAGGAAAACTAAAACAAAGAACGTTACATAAGAATATCAACATTAAAAGATTTTTCAATTCTTTGAATATTTTTTCAACTCTGTGCTATAAGTGTTAAAAATTAACAAGAAAAAATGAGCTTACGAATAAGCATCAAGTGTTTCTGATGCCAGTTTTGAGACAATTCTGTTCGTTGAATGCACCAACTTCTTCAGCCTTGCAACGAGGGACCAAGAAGAAATGAAATTATTTTTGAGGAACTTCATTATGGGCGGACTCGCGAGTGGTCCATCGCGTAGAGTCCGCCCCGACCCTAAAAAATAAATAAGTACTTGATATTCAGGGATATCAGTCTGGATAAATATGATGGTAGGAAGATATAGTTTTGATTTGACTTTTGTCCATGGGTACCTCAGCATGACTGGTCATCAAGAGATCCCCACAATACAATGTGATGAATCAATTTGCTCTCTGCTTGGGCCACTTTAATTGCTTCCTCAAATGGTAAGTAGTCTACCTATCATGTACATGAGATAAAAGATGTGCACACAAGTAAATATAAATTTAAAAAAAAATCAATTTGAGGACTTTATTATTCAGGACTTTAGAAGATATCGAAAAGGTTTCATTTAAAGACACACCTGCTTAAATGGAAAGAAAGCCTTTTCCAGATCACTTTGGATTTCTTTGATAGACTTTTCACGTAACCACTGTAATTCTTCTGAACGAGGGATAGATTTCAACTCCATAACTGGAAGGAATCCGATGTCCACCATTAAATTATCGTTAGGTCTGTTACTTCCATACCATTCTAAATCTGTAAGGAGGGGGTTATTCATTTCTAATTCAGATAAATTCGAAATATTCAGTGCATAATTACCATGCAAAATAATAATTTGCTACGTTACGTTCCTTAAAATACTCTAAAATTGTTGATTTAAATCTCAAATTCTTTAATAGATCTCAAATTAATGAATATTTACCAACATTCAATTCATTCGTGTTTGGAACATACAAATGGAAGTGGTGTGTTTCTTTAGTTCTGGTATCTAGAATTATATTTCCGGTAAAATATGCTGGAGTAAACCAAAAAGGTAGTAATGGCTTCTCATTCAATTGAAATTCTGCATGGAACCTAGGGGAGAAGAGTAAAGTTAATTATCCGATTCTTGAAAAGCAAAGTAAACAATTCAATTATTACCAGGTATTTATGTTATCTTAGTTTTTCATTTGTTCAGTAAAAAGTATCAGCCTCTGAATATATTATGTTGAAAAAGTCACCTAAAATAAATATCAGCAATATCTCCATTTATGGCTCGTAATGCTGAATATCCCCCTCTTGGTTCGAATCTTGTTTGTAGAAAAGGCTTATCATGAAAATTTTGGAGAAGGTCAAATAAAACTCCCTGTATTCCTGAATAAAGGGGTGGATCGTGACGATTATGTGATAGCTCACCCTTCTGACCTTCGTATAGCTTCCAAACCTCACCCACCACCTTACCCGGAACAAAAAACTCCAGGAAGTGGGACTCTTTTATACACGTGCTGTTATGGAATGGTTTTGTCCAATTCAAAAGTGCAATTATGTACTCTTCTTCACTCTGAAACATTTTTATTGATTCAAACAATTTATATAAAATTTTCATTTTAAAGTGTTTTGTTTCCATTCGTAGTAAAAATGAACACTTTCAATGAAATTTACCTTAACTAAATTGCTCCCTGAAATCTCGTCTCCCAATGAATTCAAATCTAAAGGTTGAAAGTTAACGTCTAACAGGATTTCTCCCTCTTCACACGAACTCTTAACATCCTTAATATACAAAACATTAAGAAGGGATGAGTGTATTTAATTTGTATCACACTCAATGAATGAAGAAAATGATAAAATGCAATTTGATTATAATATTCATATAGTAATACAAATAAGTAAGAAGTACCTTAATGTCTCTAATTGATTCTTGACCATGGATCCTTGCATTTGTCTCGGATTTAAAATCAGTGTTGCTATTTCTTATGTAAAGGACAATACAGAGCAAGAATACAAAACAAATGATAAAGAAAAACAAGTATTTTGGATATGGAACACTCATAATTTGTTCCTTCGAGTCCACCAGGCGGCCATCTTTGAATAACTGTTATGACGCGTTCTTCGATAAGATCTCGTCAACTCTTTTATCTTTTGACTGTTGGTAAATTCTCACTGGCAATCATGGCACAAGGAATCATATCCCTGTCTCTGCTAATCCTAGGATCGTGCTACCTGCTCTCCTCCCATCTTATAAAGAATCCCTTTACTCCTCAGGAACTTGCAATTCTCGCCAACGCCAAATTTAGCGATCTTCCTTTTCGGTTACAAGTTGCTTTGAGAAGAAGAACAAAAACTGGGGATAACTCGTAAGTACTCCTGATTTACTCCTGATTTATCTTTGTAAATAAGAAATAAATGTATTCAGTTGAATGTATTCAATATTTGGTAGATGGATATGAAATTTATTTCATGAGTGGAACAGATGTTTTATTGATATTTTTTGTGAGTGTGCATAATTGAAATTATGAAAATATTGTTTTATACGTAAAATAAATTCCATATTTGACAAGAAAATTTTTACTTTTCTGTTTATATTTCTTTGTTTTTCCCCTTTGACACTTTCAACACAATGTGATAGGCTGCGATACCATAAGTGATCCATTGAGAGGTCATAGTTAAGCGATTTAAAATTTGAAAACATTGTTAACATTTCAACAATATGGTAGGAGAACTTTGGCAGCTTTACACTTTGGCATTTTGCTGTAAAATTCTATAAAGGGGCGCTTTGACCAAAATCATGGGGCATTTTGACCAAAATTAGGGGACGCTTTGACCATTATCGGGAACGCTTTGACCGGGACGGTTTCATTAGGGGGGCGGCTTTATGTTTTGGTCAAAGCGCCCCTTTATAGAATTTTACAGTAAAATGATGTTACACAACCTCCCCCGAATATTGGTCAAAGCGTCCCATGATTGTAGTCAAAGCGTCCCTGATTTTAGTCAAAGCGCCCCCTGATTTTGGTCAAGGCGCCCCTAACATATTTTTTCTTAGAAAAAAAATCGTTTCGAAACCGTCGCCAAGAATTGGTCAAAATGCCCCCGATTTTGGTCAAAGCGTCACAGATTTTGGTCAAAACGCCCCCTAATATAATTCTATCAGTAGAAAAAAATCGTTTCGAATCCATCCCCAAGCAATGGACAAAATGTCCCCTGATTTTTTTACTGGCACCATGCAAGATTTTTCGAACTCCGAAATAAAAGCCAGAAATACGCAAATTATACATCTTGATTTTACCTGAGCCCTCTGTAATTACCCCCACCCCTTCCCAAAATCCTATCAAGATATGTTAGGGGGCGTTTGACCAAAACCAGAACACGCTTTGATCAAAATCAGGAGGCATTTTGATCATTTCTTCGGGACAGTAATGAATTTTTTATAGAAAAGTATGTTAGGGGGCGCTTTGACTAAAATCAGGGGACGCTTTGACCAATATTTGGGGACGGTATTTTTTCTATAAAAATATGTTAGGGGGTGCTTTGACCAAAATTAGGGGGCGCTTTGACTAAAATCGGGGGACGCTTTGACCGGGACGTTTTTATTAGGGGGCTTTGACTGGGAAATCCCTTGACTGGCTCCAATTCAATGAATAATTTACCTGTTTCTCTATTTAAAATGAATTAAAAGGCTTGATTCGAATTTTTGAGTTATATTATTTTCTTCAGATACCCCATTCACATAAACTTTTAGTTGTATATTTTTATAGCGTTATGTGAATGATATGAAGTGATGCATTTATTTTAAATCGTCATCAAATAAAATTATGAAGAGAAAATGATAATACAAAAGTGTTTCTTATACAGTACTCAATTTCTTTGGTAATTAAAAAAAGAGAAATAGATTAAATTCTTTTTTAGCTTTTTTTAATTTTTGAATTTAGAGAAAAGGAGGAGTTATAGATTTTTATATTTGTTGCTTTGCGATTATCAACACATTTAATTGTAAACACTGTATCATTTGAATTCTTTACTAATGTTTTTATGTTTATTATATAGACATTTTTGCTGCTCCACCGATACAAGTTCTCCTATTGGTTATAAGACAGTGTCAAAGGTCGTCAGCGAAATAGTAAAGGTCGGAGTTCAAGTTCAGGTTGGAGAAAATTCATGTGGATTTCTGAACAGTGGAAAATGCCATCAAAATGAATTGAGATATCAGTAAGTTATCCAAATTTTAGAATATCAACCAATTTTATCAATGTTAATAAGAATGGACAATAGAACCTTGAAAAAGAATTAAGATATGAATATGTTAAAAAGGATTTTTTGCTAGGGAAACTGCTCAATATGTTAAACTACAGTAGAAAAAAATTTCTAAATTCATCGCACAGAATTATTAACTTATTTGAAATAGGTAACTAGAAAACTTTCATATCTTAAAAATGTTACAGAGAGAAACTGATCACCCATCTGACTTACGAGGAGATGCCTCTGATTCAGCAGTGTCCCAATACAAACATTGTTTGTTGTAACCATTACGTAAACATCACTGGAAACTGCATGCGTATGTATTACACTCTCTCTGTTGAAATTCATTATTTAATAGAAGAGACTTTTACAGATGAATATTTCCTAGTAATTCTGATATTTTTTCCATTGCAGTGCTCGGTGAAGCAGCGGCCTACAAGCAGGATTTGATAGATCTTATGCAAGCTGGACTTCTTGGTTAAACATAATTTGTGCAATAAACATTGAAATACTTTTTTGTTGAAGAAATATCTTCAAATTTGGTTACTTTTTATTATCACTACTAGTATTAAATGAAAAACTTCCGCAACAGAACGTCTTCTATCATAAAATGTATAAGAGCCCCAAATTTCAATGCTTTTATCACAACTATGAAAAACACCTTGAACATGACGTCATCTAGCAAATAAGCTATAGGATTCTTCAAAATTAATTGTTTTTTCCTTTCTGTTCACCTCAGCCAAAAGCTCAAGAGAGCTTTATTGATTGAAATTTGTTCGTCGGCTGTCTGTCGTGTGTAGTCTAAAAAAATTCTTCTCATTTTTGATTTTTTTCCCCAAACGTGCCACAAAGCATAGTCGTTTCTGGAAAGTTATGGATCTTCTTCGTTCCAGAACCTTCTGCGACAAGGGACCTCGGTTTATACGGTCTCACACGAAGGGCGTGTCCCTACGTCCTAGATATCTCAGATTGTGATTCATACGTGTGGTGTAAAATTCAAATCCTTGCTCCGCGACTCTAGAGAAAACCCTTTAACCATTGCGCCATGCGACCTTTAGTTACCGGTATTCTATGTTTATATTTCATTATATTCAATTCCAATCTATAGTGACCTTGCTGGGAGGCTGGAGCCACAATTCATAAAATCTCTTCAAAGGAATGTTTTAAGGAATAATCTAATAATCTTCTGAGGTCATGATTAGTTAACAGATTTCTGATGATATAAGATTTTAACTAGCATTGGTTACTCTAGATGCATGCTCTACGTATTAACAATTTCTAAAACGAGGTTAGCCATTGACAAACAAGTTGATGGAACAGGAATATCAACAGTCTTGTTTAAAGTCATCATTTCGTCGATATCTTATTGGCAAATACAATTTATCATTAAGTCAAAAGCTGACTGCCATTTTTCATACTAATCGTTAGGTCATTTTTTACACACTGAATTTTCGATAGAAATCTCCTTTATTTCTGGATCATGACAAGGAACATATACAAAGAACACACAGCGGGTGTGGCCGGACGACAAAACACTTGATTCGATATCTGATATTTTAGACGTGCTCCAAAATTTATCATGTTTAATGAACTTTGAGCTTTAATACCATATTCGTTATCTCCATATATTTCATTGAAATAATTATAAAAAACTATACTACTTTTATTGCAAACTATTAAATGAATTATCATCCTCATAACATCAAGTAAGTTTGACGAAGCCTCAAAATATTTTGTTTTTATCATAACCATTAAATGAAATACGTCTTCAGAATATCGTTATCTTGTATACCTATAATAATTTTAGAGTTTTCACTTTTCAGATACAGCATTATACCCTTTCTCCAACAAGAAGAGTGGTATGGTTTTAAACTAGAGTAGAGCTAAAAGCTGGTGTTGATTTGATGAAAAGCTAAAAAACAGTATCTTTATTCTTTATTCACAATTTTAGCCACATTTAAAATGTATACATTTTACTTGAAGGAGGATTTGGTCTGAATTATCCCTATATCCGTTAAATCTGTGATTTTTTTTTACCCATTCTTCTATTTTTATTTGAGATGTTAGTTTTCCTCTCTGGAAAATTGAATCGTCTCCCTTTACAAGATTGGTTTATTTCTCATAATAATATTAGCAGTCTGTTACAATTATTTTACATTATAAGTAATATTTTCGAGAATTTCAAACAGATAATTAAAGGAAGAAACAAACGGCAAATAGGATTTTTATACAATAAAGGAGGAGTGTTCTAGTGATAAGAGGTTTTAGGAAAGAAATACACAGTTTAGAGGTTAATTTGGCTACCAAAACACTTTTTTGCAATAAATTAAATAGTTTTATACTTGATAAAGGACTTTTGAATAATTTTATTTTAAATTATACTTTCAGGTATTTTACAATGATTAGCATAACGCATTGTTCAATGTGAGATTAACATGAAAATACTTTTTATTATTTGATGAATTTGACGTTTTATTTAGTATGTTTTGTAAAAAGGGTTCTGGGGAGAACACGCTTATTATCCCCTGGCATACATGTATGCACACTAAAACCTTACACAAAGAAATCTGATTGTATCAAAATTATTGTTGTCTCTGATTGTTTATTAAGAACTCAAAAAATATACTTATTATGGGGTCTATGTTTAAAACATTTTTGCTCTTGATTTAATATGCTACAATAATGAACAAGATTTTCTCCCTAATCTTCATACATTCAATGCTAGTAAACAAAGGGTTCAACATGTGACCCGGAAATCGGCCATGTCCTTAAATTTACTCCGTGAGAACTATCACGTGTTTTTGCAACTTTGGCCCTGACCAGCATTACATACGCACACATTCTTATCTATTGTTATTGAAATTCTGAAGAGTCGGTGTAAGGATACATAACAGTACGCCAACCTTTCCAACCCTTTCCAGTATCGTTACTGACTGTACTTCGATTGATACCTAATTCTTAGTTCTAATCATTTGATACTGATAAGTTCATTGAGTAAACATGGACATAAAATGTTGTGCTCTTAATACATTTACGAGAGTTTATCAAAAAGTTCGTAGACTGAGGCTATAAAATTAGTATTTTGTTGTCTGAGCTTACAAAATTTATAAGGAACATAAAACAACAAAAAGCAAAGAAATGTTGACAATTTGAGCTTGATACGTTCGTTATTTCCCAAATTATTATAAAAAAAACATTATATGATCATCCGGCGCCGTCGCCGCTTACTTTCATGACGTCCGACAACGTCATTATTTTTCAATGTCCGCTTCTTCTACCTCGAACACTTATTTTGATGAGATTCCCTAGAGCTGAGTAAGGACTTCAACCCATCTTGTTTTTATGACCTTACAATGTCATGAACAGCAGCTTTCATTGCATATATTATTGCAAATGGATTTATAGATTGGGAGAGATCCTCGCTTGATTGTGCCAGCATATTTGTTTATTTGGAGTTCAATATAGCTAAAACACATGATGAACGTCATTATTTGACATGATAGATTTTTCAAACCTTGACTACAAATCGACATTAACTTTGCATCCCTTTTCTTTCTGAATCTATTTTGGCATTAAAAAACAAGTAATCTGAATGCAAATTATTTCTAATTAGTCAGTTTAAACATTTCCTAGGTGTATACATGTACCAGTTTTTTTCAGTGGCAAAACTTTATAGAATGTTGGAAAAGGAAACCCTCCTCCTTTTGACGTCATTTTCAAGGCAATATTTGTTTGGATACTCCATGTAAAATTTAAAATAAAATTTCACAGAACTTCCAGAATGAGGTAAAAATTTCATATTTTATAGAACCATAGTGTCCTAACACTTACCTGAATTTACGGGATTTTTGGATGTCAAATGTTCATATCAAAATAGTTTATCTTAGTTACATTTAGGTCGAAAAAACGTCGTTTTCGAGGTTGCGCCTGGACATACCATTGCTTATGAAAACTTTACTTATTTATTTAAAAATAAAATTGATGATTTGTGGTTTATTCTATAGATAGAAAAGATAATAGCTAAATATTTTAAAATTCATTGATGTACCTAAAGCGGTTTTAATTATTGCGCTAGTCCACGAACTTTTTGATAGCCCCTCGTATATCTGTTTGTTTTTTTTACCCTCTACCATGATTAATTCATGGCTTGATACATGTAATGTGTGAAAAACCCAGAAATCTCTATCGAGACTATAGGTCTACTGGTTTGTACTTATTACAAAGGAAGAGAAAAGTAGGAGATGTGACTTGAAACTTTACAACAGCAATAAATAGAGTTATGGTAATTGATTTATTTTCTATTTGTGGCAAGATTGCCATAAGACTACAACTGTAAGATAAGCTTTTAATCAAATTTTACAGAATTTTTAATTTTAGTTACCTTGCCAACACCATTCATCAACATAAAAAACCAAAACTTAAACAAAATGAAAACAAGAGATGTTTGTAAAATACTTATGCCCCTTCCCCCAAATTGGAATTTTTCTACGTCCAAAACGACATAAGTCCGCATAACTCTGTCAAAAATGTCAAAAATGATGGGATCATACCCAAAACAAAACCTTTACCTAGATATCCATCTGATAAATCTGTATACCAAATTTTTTATTTCAGTTTGTGCAACCTCTGCCAAGAAAATGAACGGAAACTGCAAATAATTGGCTTTTTCTAAGTCCAAGGGCCATATCTCTGTCAACAATGGCTCGATCGTACCCAAAACCAGACTTGACCTAGATATTCTCATGATAAATCTATATACCAAATTTCATTTTAGTATGTGCAAACTAAAACATGTATAAAAATATATAAAAAAATGTATAAAATATGCTGCAAAGAAAATAAATGGAAATTGTAAATATTTGGCTTTTTTTCTAAATCCAAGGGGCATAACTCTGTCAAAAATGGCTCGATCGTACCTAAAACCGAAGTTGACCTAGATATTCTCAAGATAAATCTGTATACCAAATTTTATTTCAGTATGTGTAACCGTTGCGAAGAAAATGAACGGAAACTTGGTGGACCGACAGACCTACCAACAGACAGCAGCAAAGCAATATACCCTCCCTTCTTCGAAGGGGGGCATAATTATGTATCTCAGTGTAATCTATTTGCATGCCACATTATATCATAATCCGACTAAAATTGTATTTGGAGTAGCAGTTTGAAAGTATTTCACAAAATTTTCTATTTTTAGTAACCATGGCAACATCGTTCATCAAAATCGAAAACCGATACTTTAGGGTTATTAAACTTATATTGGTGAATATTGGCACAAGTTGGCCGTTCAAACGCACGAGCTTGCGAGTGCATTTGAACAGACAGTGCCAGCAAAGCATTATATAGCTAAAACATTTCCACTTAATTCATAATAATTATTCCATCTAAAAAAAAACTAAAATTAATGTTTTTTTAGTATCGGTTTTCAAATTATTCCGATGGCCCTACCGAGCGATATGATTTGCTTATTTAGGTTTTAATTGGTCTAGTACGCACTATATTTTAATAAATAATTTCATTTTTGTGTGAAAAATAAACACATCTTACCTAGATCCACTTCCTTTCTTTAATTTAGTTCTGAGAATTCGACCAGACGACATTTTTTTTGTTTACATCGAGGCGTTCGATATTGAACGCTCGTATTCGGAATGTTTCGGGCATATTCGTACATGTAATACAAACTCAGCGGTCAATAAACCGTCCAGATATTAAACTCTAAAATTCTCTAGATTTTTGGTAGCATTTGAAAGTATTTCACAAAAATTTCTATTTTTAGTAACCACGGCAATACCGTTCATCGAAATCAAAAACCGATACACAGAATCATGTATCTGAGTGTAGTCTACTTGTGTGCCAAGTTATAATATTGAAATCAGACCAAAAATTGAAGGACAGGTAGGATTTTGAAAGTTTTTCACAAAATTTTCTGTTCATTTATATACACTGAATAACCATGGTGTGCAACATGTAAGAGGAGTAGCTTTTTGTTTGTTTACATCAAAATCACATTGAAAACCGATACTTTAGGGTTATTAAACTTATATTGGTGAATATTGGGTTAGATTGATAAAAAAAATGTATAGTCTTTCCCACATTGACCATGTATCAATATCCAACATTAACAAGAGGGCTGAAAATGGCCGAGAGCCGATTATGCTACGAAATGAGATTTGTAAACCGGGTACGTTTTATTTTGTTTATAACATTGTCTTTAATAGAAGTACAAATATATAAATTATAAATAATCACTAACTACATGTAGCTTCTTACAACGTCCTTTTTAACTATTTATTTGCTATAAGTAATTTTTTGTATTTTTTAATATTTAAAACTACGAATCCTTTCATGTTAGGAATATATTTTGCTAAGTAGAGCACCGATTTCATTCCATGAACAACAATGGCTCCTAATTTTAACATTTTCAGTTTTTCATGACTAGCATTTTTGGAGCACATGCATCCGGTAGAAAAAGTCTTAAATAAATAATTTTCTTTAACTTATACATGTATGACTGCCTAAGTCATAAAACCTAAACAATACAATTTACCGATGATAAATTTTCAAACTGAACTTTAAATTGTTATGAATGAAATATGGAGATAAGTTTCAAGGTTGAGAAAGAAATGTTGGTTTGTGGGATTTGATTTGGAGGTTGGAGAAGTGTTGAGTAGTTATGCATACGAAGTTTTACATTTCGAGGTGGTTATGGACCTGATGGTCTCTCCATACCTCGAAATCAAAAAAAAAAAAAAAACCAGATGTGTTTGTGAAACACTATGCACCCGGCGGCAACAAAATTCGCAAAAAAGCTGTTTTTTAGCATATAGGAAACAGTCAAGGCCACAAGGTCATTGTAGTTCGGTAGTTTGAAAGAACCTGGTTAGTGGAGTATGCACACCAAATATGAAGTCTCTATCTCTTATGGTTCACAAGCTATGGCGAAGGTACTAAAATGCTATTTTTAGTATACAGGTCACAGTCAAGGTCACAAGGTCATTGACCTTGGCGTCATTTGAAAGAGCAAAATTAGTGGAGTATATATACCAAATATGAAGTCTCTATATTTCATGGTTCAAAAGTTATGGCGAAGGTTAAAGTTTGCAGACAAACAAACAAACAAACAAACAAACAGATAGACAGACAGGACAAAAACAATATACGCCCCGGATCTATCGATCCAGGCGCATAATTACCCCCCCCCCCTCCTCCACAAAATTTAATGATTTCACAGTAGTACTCAAGATCAAAAGTCTATTGAAACAAAACAAACTAGAAGCAGAGCAAACAGGTTGAATAAATTTCCATATAGGGACGAGCATACACTGTTAACTGGTCACATCTGCTCTGTGCACCTTATTATTTTTGGAAAAATGGTAAAATAAAAGCCCAAAATTTAGTTTGAAAAACATCAGTCAACATATGACTTAAAGATTATAGTTGCCGAAAAAGTCATTGTATTGACCATAGAATAGGTAAATGATGATAAATGAAACGAAAATGTGGCTATTTGTTGTTTCGTCGATCATTTGTTTGCCAAAATCTTGAATCGTTCTACAAATCGTTCGTGCGTCAAGAATATTCTTGGGTATCGCTTCTATTTGACATAAAGTGTATATGCAGGCTTGACAGGTTCATATCTATTGCTATATAAATAAGGGTTAAAGATCAAATAGTTGAAGTCATCACTTTTATCATAAATTTTTGCTGCATTGTCATCATTAACAACTTTTCTTGAAACATATCCAAACATGAAACAACTGTATTAAATGTCGTGCTATCTTTTTATTTCATGTTCATTGGAATATATAGAGTCGTCATATGAATGGAAGTAATGATTGTTAAAATTGTTAATAGTTACATTATCATATTGTTCATTTTGAAATTATTTGGTGAATAAAACACTAATATTTTCCATTTATTATTTCTTTTATTTACATTATTCTAGTAAAAATTTTAAACGGAAAATTTCAATATTTATAACTGATATCAGAATGAAGTTTTTAAGTAACTTTGCGAAGGACAAGACTAGTACTCTATCATTTGGAAAATAAATGCGAATCAGATGTGATGTAATTTAGTCTCAAAACATATGTTATTAAAATGAGAGTATTATACTTTCTTATCAAATGATTCATAAAATAAAATCGAAAAATAACACATGATGTCTCAATTTTCAAAACTTATTGTCTAGCCATAAGAAAATGTCTTAATGGAATTCAAATATAATATCCTATGACCCTTGGCCGTCTTATCTCTTTGAAAATTAGAAAATGGCGACTACCAGCATGAAGAGAATATTTCTTTTGGTTTTATTTCTAAATTTAATTCTTGTCGGATTTTGTGATGATTTTTCATTGAAACCAATAATCAGAAAAGTAAGAGCTGAGGAAACTTTAAGTGAAGACGAACTAAAGGCCCTGGCTAGGGCTGATGAACGAGATCTTCCACCATCATTACAAAGACTTGTACGGGCAACACTTACAGGGTATGTACTCGTCTTGTGCTGTTTGGGGGGATTCAAAGTTGTTTTTTTAATATATACCTGGTGGTTTTAAAACAGTCGCCTGTAATTTTTTTTAAGGGAACATCTTTGCTGCAGAAATACACCTCTACCACTGGTTACTAAATCACGTTCCGTTGCAAGGCATCATCTTGTAAATGACAAGTATGTATGATACTTTTCGTAAAATGCAAGATTTTGGAAAAGCAAAACTATGTATTTCTTTTAAATTGATGAAACATATCTGCTTTATTTCTGTTGTAGACCAGTAACAACATATGTAACTGAATACTATAAAACAGTTGTTGAAGGCCGATGCCCAAAGGAACACATCGTATGCTGCAACATGTACATTATGGTGGCTTACAAATGTGTTTGTAAGTTAATAATTTTTATGAAATGAACCAAAATCATGGATAAAGCAATACAGAAATCGTTTGGACAACACATGCATGTAACGTACTTAAATAATGTTCTTTTCCTACTTTTTTCAGATTTGAGAGATCTTCATGAAGTTGCACTATCCCTTCTTGGTTGAATATAAAACAGATAGTTGTACGTTGAGATTTAAGATGATAATATTCTTTAGAATTTCAAGACTTGTGTTTGTCTTTGTTTGTTTGTTTGTTTGTTTGTTAGTTTGTTGTTGTGTTTTTTTGAAATGTTGTTTGGATGAGTCAGTGTATACATATAACAGATTAATTGATTCAAAAAAAACGTGGTTGAATTTCTAAAACAAAAAAACATCCTTCAGGAAAAATTAACAAGTTCTTTAATTGTCAATTATGAACTTGTCAAAAGTATACTGATTATAAAAAAAGCAATGGTTGACATTTCTACGGAAAAAAAACATGCACAATTCAGATGTCAGAAAATTAACAGGTTCTTTAATTGTCAATACAGTGAACTTGTCAAAACATTTATATTATTTCTCTGTAAAAAAAATCTACCTACAGCATATTTTGCTTTCATTAAATGGAAAAAAAATCTGATATCAAAGTATTTTTTGCACACTGAATTGTCTTTGGACTTCCAAATAACTTTGACATTTCCATGGTGTTAGATATTTTCATGATTGAAATTAAAGAGCACGCTGCAGGTTTACAACGCACTATGAAAAATGCTTGCTCTTACATGGGACCTGAATCTACCACTTTGAAAAAATAAAATTTCTTTTCAAAGATTTATGTTTTCTCTGCTTTGAAAAAAAATTATTTCCATATTTCAATGAATTTAAATAATTGAGCCTTTTGGATAACTTTTCGGTAATCTTCAAATTACAGCGATTTTGATTTTTATATATATTTCTCTCTCAAAAAATCTTTTACCAATTTTTCAGCATATTTTGCTTTTATTAAAATTTCGATAGTTAAAAATAAAAATATTTGGGTGTAGATATCAGAGAACTCTAACATATGTTTTGCATTTATAGATATACGTATACATTTTATAGGCATTGAAAATTGGGTTCCACTTTCAAATTGCTACCTACAGCTATGTACAGTGTATAGAAAAATTTGGATCTTCCACCTTGTTCTCATAACAATTTGACATTTCTCAATGGTGTAAATTTTTTTTATATAATTTTTTTTCAAAGTGCGTTAAATGTCCCCATAGTATAAAATGTTGATGTACACTCTTAACGCACTTTGAGAAATTTTTTCTCTTGAAGTGTTTATGCACTTTGAAAATTTTTTTTCAAAGTGCGTAATTTTTTCAAAGTGCGTTGCCACATGGCATATATGTTTTTGAAAGTGGTAAAACCAGAGATATTGAGAGAAAAGAATTTTTTGTGGCTGGTTTTTGTATAACTTGAAATAGTCTGCTTTGCCGCTGTGTCCTTTGGGATGAAATATTGTTTCAAACACTGTATGAGTACTTTTTTATTCGAAATACTAATTTACGCTATGTACGGGGTCTAAAATTTTCGGCAAAAATTCAGTCCAGCATACTAATCAGTGCATTAAAAGCATACAGTGACGATCTGAGAAATCTGTGTAATCTACCCATCAGATTGAACAAAAATAATGTGCTGCAGAATATAAACCCGATGAATAAGGTATATTTATAGTATTCATTTATATCACACACCAGGCCGTGCCGACAAATTGAATACCGCGCGTTAGCGCCGATAGGACCGAAGACATCCCAAAATATGAATTCAATACTTATATTTACATTCTTTAATTTTTCCTCTTCATAATTGTTTATTTCGGTAATCTTTGATGTGAATCTAGCGCCCTCCAAAACTGGTGTGCTTTATAGACGTTTGTGACGTCGTAAAGGTAAATAACGCAAACGAACATTGCGAGGAAAAAAGTGACAAATTAATTTTAAATGCACATTTGATGTATTTTTACGTTAATTCAACAGGGTTAATTTTTTAAAATTAAATTGTGTCAAACAATGAACATTTTGGTGTTCCTAAAGTATTGAAAATGCAATTAGTTCTTACTGTGTATTCTAAAGCGCGGTGACAAGGTTTCGCGCATACGTGTGTTAAAGAGATTTGAACGTCATGGATTTCTAATGGATTTCATAAAGAAAATTACATTGAATGTAAATATTAAAAATTAAAGTAAAACATAACTTCTGGGTATATTTTTAATTGTCATTTTGCACAAATGAATACATTATTTTGCACAAATGAATACAATGTTTATCTTTTATCCAAGTAGGCCAGCATCTATGAGTTCTTGTAGGGAACTTGATGCTCCCTGATCTGTGAAAAAAATGATATAAGTAAGAACTAGTACTGATATAAGTAACATGTCAAAAATATATAATATTTATTAACATGTCAATAAGAAAGAACACACGTAAAAAAGAATCAAAGAGCACATTTACAACACAAATCATAATCAAAAGGTTTGATAATTGATTATTTTAAATATTTTAAATAAGTTTATTTCCGGCTAAAATCCTTTGCGATGAAATCCTACCTAAGCACTGGGATCCTACTTTTTCATATCCGTCACAGCAGTGGAGATAGTGCTGAGGACATTTCCCAGGGTACTCAACAATCGTTGTTTTATTGACTTCCTTTAACTCCGTCGTCGTTCTAAAAATGTTCAAAATATTCATCAATTTTCTCTATAAAACGCATTTTAAACAAAATAATTACATGTTTAAATCATTAATATAATTTATGAATAAAAGTTTGTTTTTCAGTACATGTATGCTTTGAAAAATGATTCAATGTTTTCTTAGCATCCCTCACTCGCCTCTCCCATCCTATGGAAATACACAATATTTTAACAAACCATACACAACATGGCTGACGATGTCCTCACACAGAAGTCCCTCCGCGATAGTGGGTGTCTCTCCAAAGTGGCAGTCTCTCTGGTATGTAGTATTCACTATTTTTGTTACCTGTGTTGGTACTACATCAACTGTCGTCACGTTTTTCCGTACTGGTGCAACATCCACACCACAACACCAATGTTCCCTAAACAATGAAATGAAAGCACAGATAACTGAAAGTTAAGATCCGAATTACCACCACGACTTTCATTATTTTTAAAAACTTTGTTATACATAGGCAATTTAGCCACATATGATCCACATATGCATTACCTTTCATATGAGGATCATATGTGGATCATATGAGAATCATATGTATATACAATCATATGAAAATCATATGTGGCAAGTCATATGAGAATCACATGATACTCATATGTGGATCATATGTGGCTAAGTTGCCAGTATACTGCAGCATGTTGGTACTCTCTCTGGAGACGAAATATATTCTTTCATAGTTAAATTGAAAGTTTTCATGACTTACGCTGTTCCAGTGCGTCTATTCCTATTAATATGTGCCCCTTGTATTATTATTACTCCGATCAATGTAAAAGCGATGTATTTCAGCATTATCGTGGCTTTACTAACTATATTGTACCTCTAGAGGACTCCCTTGTCGCTTGAAATCTTATCAATACTTTATTGACATACTACGTATATTTCGGCTGATTAAAAGTGGATTTTAAGACAAATACGAAAACGGAATTAAAGAGCAAGTGAAATGTCAGACCCCCGAAAATGTCCAGAATATATTCATTTAATTCCGTAAACCTTTAGAATTATTAAAATTTAAACATAAGGCAAATCTAAACAGAAGAAGCTGAAAATAAATGTATTTTAAATGCATCTATTTCTAACACCATGGCTTTTGTCTATTTGATTTTTTTTTACCCAGTATCAAATATGAAAAAAGCCATTTAACTTTGCAAAAGCATATTCATGAACTTTTTCTATGGTCATAGCTCTATTCTACTTGTATGTCAAAACAAATTCCATGTATTTTGTACTAAATAAATCCATTGTATACATCTTCTTCGCCTTAATATTGAGGACAGAGTCTTTAAAACACGTAAATTTTAGCTCCATGTTTCCTTACTTAACACTGTACAAATTAAAATTAGAATGCAGACAAATATATGAAATTTAAGTGATTATATCCTTTCTTTTTAATGACAGAATTTCATCCTGCATCTCACAGATTTTCAAACTGATGCTTATTAACATTATTTAGGCCCAGAAAATCCAAGTTTTGTTTACTATTAACTTGTCAAATTTGTATTCTCAATTACGTCTTTAATATACCAAAATAAACACTGATACTTTTAAATTTACAATCAAGATTTATACTCATTCAAACATGAAATATATAGGTTATGCTCTGTGTAAAATTTTACGCCACTGATATACATCAATTCGATGTATGAACTGAAATGCTTTTTAATGAAGAATTTTAAGTTTTGATTTGAAGGTCATAGAAAACAATGTTCGACTTATAAGGTTCGGTGTGGATTACAGATCAGTGCAGTAAGTCAAGCACAACAGTCCGTTTGTGCGATGTACTGTAATTAAAAGTTCAGTTGTCATATCTTGGTATTACGTGTTTCTTTGACATAAGCCACTTCAATATGGGAACACCACACATGATGACCCCTTGTACATCTGATTTTTCACCTACACTTTCGGAATCACTCTGTGTTTATCTTAAAGTTTAGGAAATAGTGAGCAAACTTGAAAACTGGTAAAAATGCTACGATTGTTATGTTTTTATTTGTGCATTACTTTCATAATTTGTGATCCGCTAGAGTTCCTAAGTGAAAAAGAAAAAGAGGCTCTTGGCAAAATGCATATCCTGGACCTTCCAGAAAACGCTCAACGTGTTGTGCGAGCAGTCACTCTTCATGGAAATGCGACGTGTGTATCAAGACGTTTAACTTCTTTTATCTCCATCTTAAGTCTAACCTTCAATTCCCTTATTTTCGTATATACACATAGAAAGTCATATTTTTTTTTCTAAATGGTGTTCTATAAATGCCCTATAAAGCTTCAAAAGGTGAAAAAACTCCAAAACCGGATTAAACTTTCATTTTACTAACCATTTCTATCATGATTACCAGGGCTCATTGGTGTTGTAACGTTGCCACGACAAAGAAAATCACACAGACACATTCACAGCTTCTGTACACTAAACAAATCAGGGATCGCGTGTCTCATCATCACTGTGGCTTTCTGGGATTGTCACGATGTGCCAGGCATCACTACTACTATATGTATATAATTAGTTATAATAATGCAAAACATTATACTTTTTCTACTATATTATTGACTCTATACTATGTATTTTTAAATAAGATTTCAAGTAAGACCTATATCTATGCATAATGTCTTAATATAGTAACAGTGTATATTATGTTGCAGCTCGGTACCGCAATACAAAACAACATACTCAGTAAAGGTCATTCACACCAGCTGTCCCAACAAAAACCTAGTTTGCTGTAAAGGATACGTTCTAGTAGCCGGTAGTTGTGTCCGTAAGTATATTGAAGCTTGCTTGTATTCTTTTTGACTTTTATAAACTAATTACCTTTCTACATATAGTGACGATACAAAGGCGAATGAACTTGATGAAAGGATGGATAGGGCAAAAAAAAACACAACAAAAAATATGAAATTTGACATTTTTTTCTGCAATATATATATATGATATATATATATATATATATATATATATATATATATATATATATATATATATATATATATATATATATATATATATATATATATATATATATATATCACTAGGGGTTCACGAGAGACTAAAAAAATTTCTGCATACTATATAGCAATTCATAAAATCTAAGACATCATAAGATGCAAATTAAAACCATTCAAAAAATTAGCAGCGATATGACTGCCTCCGAGAATGTTTGGATTAAATTAAATGAATTCAATTATTTTTTTTAAAGAAATATTTATTATATTAAAGACAAAATACTTTAACAACAATAGTCATTAGTTATTTTCACTATTTCAATACTTCATAATATGTTCTTTTATTTTTACTTTACAGCTCTAAGTGAAATATCTAACATTAAGGACGACCTCATCAATCTACATAATGGCGGAATTGTCGTTGGATGAATATAAATTTAGCAGAAAATAACAATAAAAATTTGAGGAAGTATTTGAAGTTCATATATTTCTGACCCGACTGAAAGGAAAGGAAGATTGGTTTTAGAGAAATTACACTTTATTTGCAAAAGCTTTTGATCTGGTTCATATATTTCTTTCCACGTTTGAATACGTGTTATGAACATCGTGTTTTGTTTCGAAAGAAATATTTTTGTGGGAGAAAAAGTCATAATAATTGCAATTGTCTAAGGTAAAGTGCATTCCTGCGTTGAATTATTCTGTCTTATAAAGTGGTATGAACAATATATTTGCAAGTGCAAATCTGTAAGTTTTTTGCCCTGTATTGAAGGTAATGTACAGTATATACATGTACCTTAGAGAAGAAAAGGAAAAGAAAAAATGCAATGATTGGTAAATATAGCTCCCTATCTCGTCATTAGTAAATTGTATTATAATACTAACTTTTTGATGATTTTGTTATTGTCATCGAAGAAGCATCATCGTCCCTAGGAAAGTTTTACTTTAGAAATTAGATTGGAAGAGATAAATGTCTGAGTGCAAGGTTACCGAAGTAGTTTTGATGTGAAATTTTTTTAAGCAACTGTTACTTCAAATGCTAATATGCTGTACATTTTCCAAAAAGCAGAAAAATACGGGCTCGAAATTTATTGAAAACAATTTAATTATTCTTTTTACGTCATTTTTTGTATGCTATCTCCTATGTCATCATTTAAATTCTAAGGATATATCTTTGGATTATTTTTTCCATAACATTCAAATTACCAAGCACTAATGCTCAGTTTAAAAAGTATGCATAACCACTGCTCAATATTCTTCTTAGTATTTTTTCTTTTGTTTACTGCTAAAAAAAACGGCTAAATTCAGTAATGAAATAGTTGGATAATTATTGTAAAGCAATATACGGTGCTTTTAAAATGTTCTCGGGGAAAGAACAAAATTGTTTTACGTCCCATTCGAGAATGGTTTACTATTATGGACAAGTAACCACATATCGGTGATGGGCTTCAAATTAAGACCTTTACTCGGCATTTTGTTCCATTGAGCAGTGGAAGATCTTTTCCAGTACCTCTGTTCTTATAAGGTCTCAACTGAACGACGAAGATAGAACCCAATACCTTCCGTAGTATATAAAATGAAAAGATTAAATAAATAATAATATCAAAGAATCCTGACTATGCATATTTAACCTTCTGTCAAGGGAAACTTAAAAATGTTTATTCGATATTTATTCCCGTATTGCTACAATTGCATTTCAATTTGTTGAAGGAAATTTGCAGGATTAAAAATATATTGAGTTTTATGAGAAACATCTATCTTTCTCATCTCACTAAATCAGAGGTAATTAAAAATATTACAAGAACAATGTTTTGTTCCAACAGACAAAAATTGTTACAAAATCATTTTTGTTTCGTTTTTGAAGCGCGTAATTAAAGTTGTGTTTTAAAAATTTATTTTCATTATGATCACTCTTTTTTTTTAAAAGATGAAATTCTTTAAAATACATTTTAGGGATTAATATTTTTCAAACCCCATTCAACAGATGTGGATTTGACCTCTCTTACCTAAGGTAGCTTTCTAAACATCATGAAAATCATAAGAGATGATGGAGTCCTTCATTGACAACATTGTTATTGTCATCGGTCGCCAAAATTTCCGGAAAAAAAACTGTTGGAATTCCGATGGACATTATTTGTGTTCTTTAATTGCTTACCTGTTTTTCATATTTCTATGAAGCAAAATTTATTCAGAAACTAGTACAAGAAAAAAAAAAACCTTCGAGTTATTGATAAAACGTTATCGATATAAGCTCAACAATACACATGAATGAGTAACTTCTACATGTATATCGATATTTCAAATCATTATGAACATGTAATCAGGTCTGGTAAACTCTTTCATATTTAAAATGTTTGATATAAGGATAATGGCCGACTAAAACCTAACTTCTATTTCTTAATTATGTTTCACTAACAATTAACTTTAACAGTGTGATAAACGAAATTATTTCTGCATTTCTATCATCATTTTCTTTACTTGTGTTGTAATATTTTCTGCTATCATGATATCGTCTGCCATTGTTGTTCAAATCAACAAATTTATTATATAATCATGAGCATACTTTAAAATATTTTTGAATCTAGGCATGTTTGTGACGGATAAGTTGAGGATACACATCAAGGATTTCAACACCGTTTAAATTCAGCATTTTCTAAAGTTTATGCTTCTTTAAATGACCTTTTAGCAAATATAAAATTGGTTGTACTTTGGCTGACTTTTTTCATAACAGTTGTTAGGCCTTTGCTCGTATAATTGATCTAATAAATGTCCACCTATCTGATCAAAAGATTTGTCTCAAAGATAATGTGAACGGTCAATAGGAGATGCTTAATTCCTCCTGGGTACCTGAACCCACCATTGAAATTTCCGGATGTCCATGTTTCACGCTGATCTGTAGTGTCTGTAGAATTTTGAGATCAATCTCTGTTCGTACTTTCACATTTTCGTAATGAACATGTCAGTATTGTAATCAAGGATAGATGGAAAATGTGTAGAAGTAATGATAAACAATGCATACAAATATATCAGAATGCATCTAATAAAGCTAAAATTTTAACCATAAAATTTCATACATGGACTCTGACCTAGATTGTTTTCTTTAGTTCTGTTTGTCTTATCTTTGACACTCTTCCTTTGACGTTATATTGTAATCACTAAGAATATTTTCATCGTAATAATTGTCAGTATGAAAATTACAGGTATGTCTCGATGTTTCTTAATCTCTATAGCATTTGTTAAACTGTTGTAATTTTTTTCTTTTCTCTGTTTCACAATTTAAGGAAATTGTTTTTTAAAATCATTTTTTGTAACTTTTTAGAACCCCAAACCAAAATATCCTTAAAAGCTAAGGACGAAAGACTGATAAGAAAATATTATTTGTATCGTTGATATCATTTTTTTACAAATAAAACTCGCATGAATATTTTGTATCGAAAGTACACTCCTAGACAAAAGTATTACAATGTAAATCTATGGTTCTATGACACAATTTTGCATGTAAAGGTTAATCTTGGAATATCAAAGACTTCTAATTTTGACTGAATTAATACCTTGACTAAATTCTATCATTATTTATTCATTTAAGTATTCTTTCTCTGCTTGAGCCTCTCGGCTGTATTGTTCTCTGTAAATGGGGCTCCACAAAGACGACAAGTTGGAGCCCTAGTGTCAGCAGCCTTTGGACAAGCTCTCGCCGGACAAGTCACGAACTTTGTCAACACGGCTGGAAATTACCTACTGAATACGTTATTTGGAGAGAGTCCTTATGTAAGTAGTGATATCAAAATTTAATTTATTTATTAACGATGTTAATTTTAATTGTTCATGATATTTATACATGTATGATGATGTTTAGCTGTTGAGAATGCTCGTAATGTAGTGAAGCTTATTTTTAGTTTTACAACACTGAATAAGTAGAATATTTTGAAGTTTGGTTTACATTGTTTCTTTTCGCAGAAGTAATAATCTGGCGGTTAAGTCAGGAAAACAATTTAGGATACAGTGAATATTGAATTTAAACAGACATTGAAGATTTATTTGTCTGTACACAGTTACACTCTTTATGAAAAAACTTCAATAAAATTTGATGATTTTGCTTTTTGAAATTCAACACCTCCTTACAGACGACCATTATGGGTCGCGGTGTAAAAGTAATGGGAGGAGGAACCACCGTGTCTATTAAGGATATCGCCACCGGAATAGTGGTAGCAGGGTTTGGGGAGACGCCGGAGGTAGCTGTATAGTAATTATGTTTGCGAAAACGAACATTCTTAAAATAAAAAGTTGTACCATAATCATTTTTATTCTCGTCGGATCTATTAAATCGAATACACGTAGTTTGTAATAAGTAATTTGTTGATTAGAAATATGTAATCAAAGCTGCTAAAATTTATCTAACCATGTTTTCATTCTCTTACTCATTATTACAGCTGGCTATGTCTCAGGCCACTGCGAATCTTATAACAACACTGTATAAAGGTGGATATATTAGCATTGATGATCTTCATTTAGCCCCAGTAAGAACGACAACTCCACGTACGTAATGATTTTCAGAAGTTGATATAAGGAAATACAAGAAATTTGGCGTGATAATGATGAAAAAGATAAAAGCATTAGCTTTCAAATCATTTATTTGAATATATTTATTTTTATACTTCAGTATTGGTCAGTTGTTAATTAAGAAGTGGTAAAATTTTGAATTCACTTTTTACTAAATATATATATCTTTATGGAATCTAGTCATTTATATTTCAGTACCTTGTGCGGATGCCTTCCCACCAAAAGTTTGTCAAGGTTATAAAAAGCTAGGATCTTGTTCACCTGCCCATGTAACTTACAGCTTCGTCCATACACACTGTACAAGAACTTGTGGGTATGTTCTACAATTCCTGAAGATGATCTACTACATGTATATTGATATTGTGTGGCAGTGTTTAAGAGAGTTGTCCGTCGCCCGCGGAGCAAGAAGTGTATTAACGTCGAGGGTTTGAATCTCATATTAAAAAGTTCTCGTTTCGTAGAAAAATGACCTTCCTTTTCTAAATGGAACTTAGTGCAGAGGATAGGTTTTAAATTTGCATATTACCACAGGCAATTAATTTTTTTTTATTTCTTGTTTTCTTACATTAATGCATGAAAAACAGTTTACAAGAAATATATTGTTTATCTAAGTTTTTGACCTGATGCGGCGGTGCCTGAGAAACTATTGATTAATTTTGTTGGCCCTACCTATGTTTCTTTTTTATCATTTCAGTGGCTGTGAGTAAATTAAGATGCCAATTCTTGGAAATGCCATCAATGATATTTTGTAATCAGCTTTATTAAAATATTATGTATCATAAGCAGAGTTAATCATTTAAGGTCAGTATCTTACGGATTCATACTAAAACAATATACACATTACTGATGCATGGGCTTTACTGAGTAGACATAATTTGTCAACGTGCGGATCTGGAGCATTAGAATTGGTATCATCTAAGATATATATTATGATTCCTGTATCGAGGCCTCTGTTGGTAGACTGTTATTCCCCGAGGGTCTCCTAAGGTCAGTAGCTAAGTACTTTCGTTACCAGCTTGAAAACATGGATTCAAATTTAATTGCTGTGGTAAATTTAGAAGTATACCGTATTTTCAAGGTTAGGATTCTTCATCTTGCAAAGCTATAATCCTTCGACGTACATGTAAATGGCTTCAGTCGCTGGCACCAATTTTTTCAACTCTTTAAATTCTTAATTTTAATTCATTCGGAATTCGAACGGCATATAAATGAAGAGACATAATTTTGTCAAAACGGGCATTTTGTGCATCGAAATTGGTACTATATATGATTTATATTATACAAAGAATTAAAAAAAAAAAATCAATAATGATTTATTCAATAGAACCTATATTTAAAAGAATACAGAAATCTTTATCTTTTACATTGTTTAACTTTCTACATACAAACCAAATGATAAGAAGAATATCTGAAACAGGGCTAAATTTTGTACATTTATTAACGTAAAATAAAGTCTATACTGGAATAAAATATCCCAAGATGCAAACATTCATTACTTCTCTTAACGAATTTTTATGCCCCCGTAATCGAAGATTCGGGGTATATAGTTTTTGTCCTCTCTGTCCGTCTGCAGAAAAATTAACCTTGCTCGTAACTTTTGAGTGGGTGAGGCTATTCTATATTTCACAGGGGTATTCCTAGTGACAAGACCTTTCTTTGGGTACCACTTAATTTGATCTCTTGACATTGACCTTGGAGTTTAACCCACTTTTACAAAAGTTACCACACTATGTATCTTTGGTTATAACTTTTGAACAGATAGAGCAAGGGCTTTCATAGTTTTCAGTTGCTTTACTTGTGAAAAGACCTTCCTTTGAGAACAAACAATTTTGACCTTATGACCTTAAAGTGGTATGCATTTGAGAAAATTCAAACCTCTCTACAAGCTTCTATACGGGGGCATCGGTGTTTCACACACACACAAAAAAAAACAACCAAAAAAAACCCACTACGTACTAATACACGGTAAAACTAATTGTATGATACTAAAAGTACAGACGCCTTAAAAGGAAATTGTCTTACATCTAAAGATTTTGACTTAAATCTTATGCCTTATTTCTTACATAATTACTTAATTACAAATCGTGACCTGCATATAACGGAATTTACAAACAGTTCCAGCACAGAGGAGGTAGACATGTATTAAGTCTGATTTATTTATGACAAGATAAAATTAGTTTTGTTCATAAAATGTAGAGATAATGAAATGAAGTGCAATATTTTTGGGCGCAGATATCTCTCCTTGTTTCGGCACGATCGAGTTATCTAATTCTCAATTATATAAAGAAAGGTGCTTGCCGGTGTCGCATAATATTTGGTCCGCCTCGTTTAAAGGTCCGACCGGACCAAATATGATAACATATTAGGTCCGCCTTTTATAAGAAATGGTCCGGCCCGTATAAGAAAAGGTCCCCCTACGTTTTAAGGTCCGGGTGATGCAAAATGTTTTAATCTTGACTTTAACATATGATATTAAAGAGAATCAGTTTAATATACTATTTGATAAGAAGGATTTACCCTATTGTGTTTTATTTTTTGTACAACATACACGTATCTCTAGACAAGAATCTACTCGTTTAGTGTGGTTTGAGTATTGCCGTTTAGGACCATAATTTCTTTAAAAATAATGCCACAATTATTGTGCAAGTGTTTGTTTTTCCTTAGAATTTACTTTGTGTAAATTAGTACGATTCAAGGTGTGAAATCTGTCGGTGTGTATAGCTAATAAAACAATGGGGTGTGACGTATTTGTTTACCTGACAGGTACCCACAGGTAGAGCCCGCGGCAGATGGCGCTGTCATTGAATGGTCGGTGAACCTAATGGTCATGTGTTAGCTTTATATATCAATAGATTTGAAGTTTTTAAATTAATAAATTAGGCCAAGGAAAAAACTATTCATGCGTACACTTCAAAACTGCGACATTTGTAATAAGTATAAACGTAAGTTCAAGTTCAAGTTCAATTTATTCTCTCAAACCATATCAATGGTACATGAGGTTCAACAATATATGTACAATATATACAAAAAATAAAATACAAGATACACGTGAAATGGCGGAAATACATTCAAATAAAGTAACATAAATAATTATGGAGGACAGACTTTTTCATATACTCTATTTATGTAACTGCATAGTTTAATTAATACTTTGTAGTCAGCAGATGACAACAATTCTGAGAATTTGAAAAAATTTGGTCTATTACAATATTTACTAGGAAGATATTTTTTTCTATATTCGGAAAAATATTTACATTCTAAAATGTAGTGATACTCATCAGCTATTTGTCCATTATTACAAAGATTACATTGTCTATCATTTTTGGGAATTCCAAACCATCTCCCAGTCTCAACTGGAAGACGATGATTTGCTGTTCTTAGTTTAATTAAAATTGTATAGCTAAATATGGCGTATCATAATCAGAGCTAAAATTTAAAAATACTAGATTAAGCGTATAATAATTTACATGAGATGTGATATCTATGTTCAAATTAAAATTTTTACCGATATTGAACTTAAATATACCGACGTTTCTATTAGTTAAATTCAAACTAATTGAATTAAAACTGTGTCTGATATTTAAATTCCGAGTCGATCAGAATCGGTCATTGTTTTAAATCTCTGATATCTATACATGAAACGCAATTGATTTAAATTTCGGTAATGGAAAATTTTAAAGAATAAATTATAGACTGTTTAGTAAATCAAATGTCTTGGACATAAGTTCGGCGCAGTCTTTGACACTTAATTTAGTGAACAAAATGAATGAAAAAAAATTCTGTTAACTAGACTTAGTGCTTCAAATACAGATGTATATATACAGAATTTTTATATTAAAAATGTTGTGTATAATAATTTTTTTCAAAATTCCTTTTCTACGTACATGTACCTGTTAAACATTAAATTGCCGGAGAGGTACCTAGCAATAATTCCGGAAATGAAAAGAAATAAATGTCGAGAAAAAAAAAGTAATTGTCGGAAATAAAATAACGAAATGTCGGAAATGAAATACAGCGGTTCTTTCTGTATATAAAAGAAAGATATTTTTAATATTGTTAGTCTTAACTTATAAAAAAAAAACGCCTTATATGATTTAAAGAAATTCCTTATCCCAAGTGTGGAGTTTAATACTACATGAAAGATCGATAAAGGGTACATGTAATTCTCTGGTTTCCTGTAGTCTTTACATATACCTTTTGTTTTCTGTTTATAATCATATTTTGGTCCTTTATTTGTGGATAGTGTAAAATATAACCTAACATTGAATTCGATCTCTATTTACATTTACTGCAGAAACAAAATACTTGATTGTAATGTTCAGTTAAAGACTAAAGCAGCTCACTATATATGGAAAAGATATACACCAGAGGATTGTTTTACAAAAGAACTTACGACTCAGACCAAAAACTTAAGCTGATTGTATAATTTTATAAAATTAATTATTCTTTTTGAAATAACTGTAAATTATTTTCTATTATAACCGACATATGGAGCCTTTTGCGAAAAATTGTTTATAATTATTTATCTTACGCCTGTATGAAAAGGATTAAGCCTGAGGGGGAAAGTTTTTATAAGTTCTCGTCCATATGCTCAAAAATAGAAGAAAAAGAATAAAGCATACATGTGTTTACAGTTGGATCCAGCATTGCATCACTTGACCCTCTTCATATGTTGTGTATCAAGTATTTTTTAATTTTGAATCTCTGCAGACCCCCCCCCCAACCTCACCCCAGCCCGCAACAGTACCCAGAAAGAGCCATAGCGCATTTGATAGGCATTTTCGCCTACACTACTAGTGATTTTTTTTATGACATTGCTTAACCTAAATTTTTTTATACAATCTTAGTTTATACATGCATAAAACCAAATCACACAACAATGATATGCCAATGTTAATAGTTCCCTCATATGATAAATATAAAAATTATCCAGTTTGTATGGAATATATAATAAATATTGAGGTACCCACCTAAGATGACAATTTGTTGCCAAAGACCACCCTAACCAGAAAAACAACTTTTGAATAATTTTATTTGGATATGACTGCTCTTCATTCCATTTAGATAATTTTGGATAAAGGTGGTCTTTGCTCATTGCAAAGGAAATTGTATACGGGGTTTATTTTCGTATAGCATAAGAATCAGAGAAAGTGACATGACGGACCTTAAAGCGCAGCATAATATATAAGATCCGTCCTCTGTATTTCAGAGATCTGTATGTTATGAAGGGAAATTTTTGGACAGGGTTTATTTTCGTACCTTAAAAAACTAGATAAAGAGACAGGGCGGACCTTAAAACGCAGTTATCAGAAAAGGTCCGCCCTCTGTATTTCAGATATCTTCATGTCATAAAGGAAAAATGTTGGACAAAGTTTATTTTCGTAGCTTAAAAACACGACAAAAAGACAGGGCGGACCTTAAAACACAGTTATCAGAAAAGGTCCGCTCTCTGTATTTCAGTTATTTTCATGACATACAAAAAAGATTTGGACAGGTTTATTTTCGTAGCTTAAAAAACTAGAGAAAGAAATAGGGCGGACCTTAAAACGCAGTTATCAGAAAAGGTCCGCCCTCTGTATTTCAGATATCTTTATGTGTTAAAGGGAAATTTTTGGACAGGGTTTATTTTCGTACATTAAAAACACGAGAAAGGGACAGGACGGACATTAAAACGCAGTTATCAGAAAAGGTCCGCCCTCTGTATTTCAAATATTTTCATGTCATAATGGAAATTTTTGGACAGGGTTTATTTTCGTAGCTTAAAAACACGAGAAAAGGACAGGGCGGACCTTAA